CCGACGGCGCCGTCATCGTCGGCCAGAACAGCATCTCCCACCCAAGCGAGGCAACCGCCCTCCAGCCCAGACCAGGCTCCAGACGACCCAGTCTCCTCCTCGCCGACGGCGTCTCCGACCTCGAGGACACAGAACCCTCTGACGCCTCGGACGCCGCCTCCTACGAGGGCGACCACCTCCCCGGCTCCCTCCCCACCCTCCGCAACAAAAACATCCACTTCAGCAAATCAGCCAACGAGGACCTCCCCGCCCGCATCACCCGCATCTGGTACATAAACCCCTACGGCCAGGAGATCCGGCCCCCCGCCAACCCGCGCGTCCTCGAGTCCCTCCGCGACGCCCAGGCCATCATCTACAGCATCGGCTCCCTATACACATCCCTTGTCCCCTCCCTCATCCTCCGCGGCGTCGGCCACGCCATCGCCACCGGTCCGGCCCGCCACAAGATCCTCATTCTCAATGGCTCCCTGGACAGGGAAACAGGTCCGCCCTCGCAGCCCTTCACGGCGGTCGATTTCGTCGAGGCCATCACCCGCGCAGGAGAGGAGAGTCGTGGCCGGCCCGCTCACCTACCCTCTCCTCCGTATTCCTCCTACGTCACGCATCTCCTGCATCTAGATGGACCGGGAACGCCGCAGGTCGACCGCGAGCGTCTGGCGGAAATGGGTATCGAGACGCTCCGTTTATATGGTCGGAAGATTACGGCGCCGGGGCTGGACGGTGAGGAGGTTGCCTTGGGGATGAAGTATGATCCTACTGCCCTTGTGCAGGCGCTGGAGGTGGTCCTGGGCCGTAAAGGGGATGCCATGCTTCGCGGAGATGGGTTAAGTCGGAGAAATACCTTAGATCCTGGGAGAAGAAGGGCAGAGGAAACGTAATTGATAGAGCAATGCATTATAATGATCTGCTTCAACTTGACTGTTTCAATATCATTCGGATTAGTAGCATCGAAGATGAGTATTTACAGATCATTATATATCACAGAAATAACCGCCCAGCCCCCTCGTAGAATACAGCAAGCCCAAACGCATCATCATGATTAGCCACGGCAACGCCATACCAATGCTTTTACAGAACGTTCGTCAGATGATACAACACAATAGAGAAGTTACATAATTAATGCATGAAAAGGAATACATGGTCGTGAGGGAATGAAAGGAAAGTGAAGGACGGATTGCCAGACTAAGGCCGGGCAGCCGGCCTGGGTTTCCATGTCTGACGGTTCATATTGAAATGGGGAGGCCTGCTCCCCTGTGGTAGATATCGGAAGTCGCGGTACAGTCCAGAATCGATGTCCATTAAGACCGCTTTTTGAGGCTCCGCCGAAGGGAAGTTAGTTGATTTGGCGCCGTTCCGAACAGAGCGTGTGCTTGAAGCGGTGGCAGACTCGGTCTTCGTCACCTCCTTGATGAGTTCTCGAAGCTCTTTGTCGTCTTTGGTAATCTGAGCTTTGATGAAAGTAGGATTATTGGTGGCTTGAAGCGACGCCATCACAGACTCCCGTGGCGTGTAAGTGTACTTCTGAGGCGACGGAGGCGAAACGGGGACTACTGAAGGATCCAAATATGCTTCTTGATCCTTGTCCAATAGTCGACTAATGTCCAAGCTTTCTCCGTGTGGAATCTTGTGCGGATGAGAAGGAGTTACGCAGTCCATGTCCACCTCTTTACGCAGAACGTGATCGATATCAACGGCTGAAAAGTAAGCACAAGACTGAGGAAGATCGTCGATGCCAACTTGTTGGGAAAACATGGCGCGGGTCCAAACATTGGCAACCTGTAGGGCCATAGCAGCTCGATACTTGTCCTCTTTCTTGACAAGGTACCGGATTTCGTCGTGGACCGTGATTGCGAGTCGAGCATCTATGTTAAATCGTCGGATAAGATAATCCATGGATACTATCAAAAGGTGGAGATAATCGACTCCAGATGACTGGATTGCCCAGTTAATTCGAGACGTCATGAAGCTGCCCTTGTTGATGAAGCGCCGCATGAGTGCCTCAGTGATCCCAGCACCAAGCGCAGGCGTACGCGGTCTTTCCTGCTCGGCGAATTCCTCCAATTTGTTGAAGACAAAGGATTCAGTACCTCCGCGCCAGAAAGGGTTCTCACTCAGAATACGACGAGTTGTGCGAGTGCCCTTGGTCTCTCTGTAGAGATTGGTTGCAACTTCTTGGGTCTCCTTCTCGGACATGGACGGATTGAACTGGCGAAGCAGTGTAGCAGCGAACTTGACCCCAGCACCGTAAATGCGCCCATAGTTAAAAACCTTGGCGTCATTACGCGAAATACCCAAGATCTGGGCTGTGCGCGAATGCATATCAGTCCCAGCAGCCTTAGAACCCTCTAAAGTCATGAATCCAATGGCATTGCCCCCATGTAGTTGGAATTGAGCGTCCCCGACAAGGCTGGCAATCCACAATTCCTGGGAGTCAACATCTGCACCGACAAAGACGTACCCTGGCGGAGCTTTAATCATGGCCTTGAGTTCAGAACCAACGCGGTTCGCCTTGGCGTTGCTGGCTGTTAGCCATGTATTCTCCACTGCTCGCCGGGTGATCGTGCCCATAGGTATGATTTGAGGGAGAATAAATCCTAGTCGGTTTGACTTTTCACCTGTAGATCCGGACTGCTTGACTTGATCTTCGTAAACTACCATCTGACTCATGATTCTGTCACGGGCGCTGATCCAATATGAGCAGGAGGCGTTCATTTCTAGAGCTTCTTTGGCGAGAGCGTATTGCGACGAAAGCGTTCCCCGCTCAAAGTATTGCAGATAGCCCTTGGCCAAGGGGTTGACGCAACGCGCTTGTGGTCCATCCTTATGAGGGAGCTTGAAGTACACGTGCTTCCTATCGTCGCGCAACTCCAAGTTCTTCTCTTCACTCATATCGCAGAGGACCACAGGCTGATTTTCGAATTGTTTGACCTGGTCTTTCGGGACTTTGAACGTCCATCCGAACTTATCAGACCATATTAGAGGGTAACCGTCCCATGACAGCTTCAATAATATAGGGGCAATCCGGGTGCGCACAGTCAGGTTGATGTCCGCTGCACTCGTAGGAAAGAGATCTTTGTACCATTGTGGCATGCCCGGTTTCTTCTGTCTGGCCGCGGGTCGCGGAGGATCACCCTTCTTCTTGCCCTTGACCATTTTGATCTCTTGGCCAGACCAGTCCAGCTGTCGCAACCAAGGGTCATTCGTGTAGATATCCGGGCTCTCTTTGACCTTGAGAGCTTCGTCGCACAGTTCAACTAGCCTCCGTTGCACATCGTCGACTCGTTGATGATATGTTGCTTCCGCGTTTGTAATATACTCTTTCCATGTTTCGTTGACAGGCAATATAACCGAGGAAAGATGGCGCAGGGCTCCGAAGCTGACAGGATGAGGACAGACCTCAAGGAAGTTAGGAAATACCTTCTTGTACACACGGTGGGTGATGGCGACGTCTGCAGCACAGTAATCCAGCAATTCTTCCAGCTTCCCCAGGATTTGATTCCTATTAAGTTCGCCAAAATAGTCTCTTTGTGACTTGTCGATTGTAACGTCGCAATGAAACTTGGCTACGTCGCGCAACGAATTCACCGAGCTCCTTCCGACCCACAATTCCTCCTCTTCTTCGCTCAGCATTTTGCTTTCGAGCAACGCAGCCAGTTCGACGGAGTTTCTCTCATTTGCAATCTTGTCTCGCAGATCCTTATTCTTCTTATGACGCATCCATGTGGGTCTCTGCTGCGAGCACATCCCGTTGACGGCGACATGGAGTGACATGGTATCAAGGAAAAAGTTGCGAGTCTGTTCCATTCCATACTCCTCGAGGACGCGCGCTCGGTCATACCCGATGTTGTGTCCGACGACGATCCGCGGTTGCTTTATGTCCCCCAAAGGTATGAGTTGAACTTCATTCTCGGACTCACCGAGCAGCCAGGGCGAAAGCCATGCATACCAGGCTGTAGGGCTCACAGCGCAAGCCATAACAGCAAAAGAGTGTTCTTTGTACATGACCTCGGTATCAAATGTGAGCATCGACTCATTTGGTGCGTCCACAGACTCCCAAGAGCCGTCAGAGTTATATTTGGTCCACCCGCTTCGCTTGACCCATTCGCGCGGCTTCTGAGGCGAGTTGACAGTTGTATAGCTTTTCGCATATGTTAAGTAGGGCTCGGATGCATCCATTCCCAGTTTGAAAAAGTGCTCGTCCATGGTTTGTCCCTGGAGAGCGGGCATATCGAATGCGATAGGTTCCGCGGCATCCTGAGATTTTCCTAGCAGATCGTGCCTTGAAAGGTGTTCCTTGGACAGTGCAACTAGGACCGGATCTGGCGACCTTGCTTGATTCGGAAATATTTGAGAATAGACATGGTCGCTCAGCTGTTGAACTCCAATTTCATTGAACCTAGGCAATGCAGGGACTGTAAGATTAGCATATGTATTTTTCTCCATTTGCGCCGGCGAGGATAGGAGTACCTGAAAGCGATCGACAACGTGATGTTTCAACATTATTTCCGGATGAAGGCTCCGAAATGAACGATCTAACCAGCAATAGCAGAGGTCGCTGCCGAGTGAAGCGTGGCGAGCGCAACCTCTGGGAGCAAGGACGTAGAACATCCCTGCAACGGGGAGTGATACTATTTAAAAGCATTCTAGATCATGAAATCTCGGTCAAAATTACCCCCATGGCATGATATATATGTCGCGCAGCCAACGCTACGTAGAGATAGCGTGTCTTGTGAGATGTCGTTTCAAGATGAGTCGGTGTTGGTACACATGTCTACAGAGAATCCAGACTTTCCTATCGCGGAAAGCCCGTCATCATGCGTGTTGGAGAACGGAATTAGAGATGATCCGTGAAACATTCACCGCCTGCCCTTATAGCTCTGTAGTTATCATCATGTGACATTGTGCGATAAGCCTGTTGGCGGTTCATCGCCCCTCCCAAGTAGTCTTCCTTATGAACTGGCAAGAAATTATAAGCGTTCGTTAGCCATTCCTACTCCTCTATGGCTTCACTCGTGAGGAGTATCTCCCATGCTCGTCGGAGTCCTTCCACCAGTTCTTTTTCCGTCGAGCCTTCAGATCGAGACCCAGATCGAGAGCAGCCTGCGCGAAAGCGCCGCCGTGTGAGCGATGTCGAGACAGCAGGCATTGGGGAATCAGCAGATCATTCGGGCACTTCAACTGCTTCCTCCAACTCCACATCTAATCCGGTAGCTCACGACAGAGACCTTGAACCCATCGAACAGATTGATTTGACAGAAGTGGAGGGCTCGGCTGCTCTTGCAAAAGCGTTGGCAAAGCAGCGAGAAGACGCTGTTAGGGCACAAGAATCTTTGCATCAAGGGACTGGCCGTTCTATTCTGACATCATATAAATGCCCTGTGTGTATGGATACGCCAGTCGATGCCACCAGCACTGTATGCGGTATGCAATCTCCAGTGTGTAACACAAGGGACCTATATTGACGGATTCAGGGCATCTCTTCTGTCACAAATGCATAATGGATACACTGAAATTTAGCGAAGAGCAGCGGTCAGACGCATCAGGAAAAGGCCCTCGCGGCACTTGTCCTGTATGTCGAAAGCCTTTAGCACGAACAGATGCACCAGTACCGAGAAGGAATTTAGTACCACTGCAACTGAAACTCGCTACAAAACGGAGAAACCAGGCGACAACGGAAGGCACATAACAATCACCGAGGCTCGAGTTATTCATGAGGATTAAGGGCCGGCGTAGGGATTAGACTAGTGTTTTTGAGCGGGCCAGGTTGCATTGGGATTAGCGATTACGTTTAGCAGGCGTTATAGCATATTTTGAATCATTTTCCTTTCTAGGACATCTTGATCGATGGGCCTTACTGACAACCGGACATAATAGAACTTTAATAGCCCCTGTGCTCCATTGACCAAGCAGAGAGTGATGGCCGCGAGCTTGATTCTCATGGACTGACGGCCTGCCAATTCGATAACTTACTTCCATGTTTGTCTCTGAACCTTGTTGTATACGGTGTATCCTCGTAGAGTGGTGAAAATCATCGACTATCAAAGTCAGGAAAGGATTGACATTCCTCGGTTCAGGATGACGTATTAACAGAGACTACTGTAGCCGTCCTGTTCTGTATGAACATGAAACAAGCCAGTTAAACATCATGGGTATAAAGTTGGCCTGCCTTCTGATTTCTCTTTCTTCTGTTACTGTGAGAATCAGCCTCAGTTAGCTAGGTGAATATGTGCTGATGCAGCTCCAATCATTCGCCAGCTGCCAAAAAGAGGTGTCGCAGTCTGTCACCTAACCGCAGAGACGGCGAACCTTAATGAGATTGCCAACTCCGCAATTGAAAATCAAGGAACACGTCCAGGCGCGAAGCTCGCCATCCACGGCTTCCTATATATTTCGTCTTACCTGTGAAATTGTTAGTTCCGTCTAGAGCTTCTTCGCTTGTCGGCCACAGAAGCAGATACAAGCGCATTCAACAAAGTCAAAACCCCCGCGATGAACTCTTCCTATGGGCCCTCCTGCATCTTGATGAGGTACTCCCAGTTTCTCATTGCTCTGACCTCGGACGGAAAGCTACTTCCATAATATCTTCAAAATCATTTTCCTTAGATTGCGCGCTTCGCTTCTATACCCTTGCGCGATCACTCGCCGAATCAATTTTGTTCGATCAAGGCCTGTCCAGCTTCATGCGACAAGGATGTTCTGAGTTGAATGTCTCTAGATCGCGCATAAACCACCATAACTGTTTATCACCATGAGCATGCACTCACTAGATCATGCGCGGACCATTGAGCTGCCACCTGTAGCTCTCGATGAAAGAGACATCGAGGCAAATCCGCGGGCATCTAACGCACCACCATCACCCTTTTCCACGCCCGCCAAGGGAGCGACTCCTCGTTCGCCTGAAACGTTCACTACTGCGGCTCGAATCGCATCGCAGGATACGGTCAAACATCGCGTGCGACGCTCCAACACAGCCCGCTCTTATCATCCCGACAGTGTTGCTCATGACCCCAATTGGCAACCGGGAACAGAGCCGGGCATTGACCCGAACAAACCACCTCCCCCCTATGGCGCCGATTGGGCACCTCACATACCTGCTGAATTACACAGAAGGTGCGAGATAATCGTGGTGGACTTTTCGCAACATGAAATGCGGCAGTACGAGCTGGACAATGACACACTGGAAGCGTTCCTCGAGCGAGAAAGGGAGCCTTGGGTTCAATGCAGGTGGATCAATGTCAATGGGCTAAGCTGGGATGTCATCAGGATTTTGGGAAAGCGTAAGGGTCTCCACAGACTTGCAATTGAGGACATGATCAACACGACAAACCGTACGAAGGCGGACTGGTATTCGGATCATGCTTATATCGTGCTTACCTTGCAGAAGCTGGTAAAGCTCAGGGACGAGTCTAGCAGTGACTCTGAAGAGGAAGAAGAAGACGGACGAAGCTCATCTGCACGCGACCGCAGAAGCTCGACATCAAGTGGGAAGACCCATTCACTGAAGCGGCCAACCAAAAGATCTCTCGTTGCGGCCGCATTGAAGGATCTCTTCACAGTTCGGTCTTCGAAGGAGACAGACGACACAGATGCTAGTGGGGCGAGCGTTCGCCGGTGGTCTGGGAGAGCCTCGCCAAAAACCCAGTCCAATCTGAGTGACATTGTCAGTGCAGGGCTCACGGCGCGCAGCATTCAGCGCTTCCGCGGGGGCCCAAACGAGGACAGGATCGCGTTCATGGAACGCCATGCCGTTCTAGCATCGAAGGGTCTGAGTGTCACACTCGAACAGGTTTCGCTATTCTTGCATGCAGATAATACGGTCACCTCCTTCTTCGAGACGAGTGCCGACGACATTGAGGCGCCTATTGTTCGTCGCCTTAGTTCGCCGGAGACGATTTTGCGCCAATCCTGCGATGCTAGCATGCTCTTGCAGGCGATATTGGACGCCATAATTGACCTGGCTATTCCAGTAACGAGTGCCTATCAAGACGCTATCGGTGACCTGGAACTAGAAGTCCTCACAGATCCCGACGTGGATCAATCCAAAAGCTTGTACATACTAACGTCCGAGATTGCCGTTTTGAGAAGCTCCATGCAGCCGATTGTGACGGTCATCAACGCGCTCCGTGACCATCGCTCAGAGCTTGTTAGTACCCCTGGCTTCGGCCTTAAGCAACTCGGCACCGCAACGCCACTCTCAACGTCAGGTTTCAACTTCTCAGACGCTCAGCCCCAGGTGGGGGTAGCCACACCGAATCTGAAGAGCTTGGGTGGATCAAGTGTTTCCATCAGCCACATGTGTCATACGTACCTAGGGGATGCGCTGGATCATTGTATAACCATTGTAGAGACATACGACCAAATGAGACGTGCTGCTGATAACATGATCGATCTGATATTCAACACAATCGGTAATATCCCTGCGAGGACGAGTTCGGCTTCGTGTGCTGACTTCTTGCAGGAGCCTACCAGAATGAAAGCATGAAGCAGCTGACCCTTGTGACATGCTTCTATCTGCCATTGACATTTTTGACTGTTCGTTGGCAAGCTTTGAACTGTTTGAGGAAGACACTGTGTACTAACTGCAAGCTAGGGTTATTTTGGAATGAACTTTGAGCATTTCGCTGGGATCCAGCATAGTGATTCGTACGTTTCGTTCAGTTCCGTCTGTCTCAAGGCATACTAATTCCTCTTCTGGAAAGTTACTTCTGGATGATTGCGGTTCCTTTCGTCTTCGCAACGACTATTTTCCTGATGTAAGTGACCTTCGTCCTCGAGAGAGAAATAGTGCTAATGCTTTGACAACAGGCGGGACAAGATTCAGCGCTACGCGGTGCTGCTGGCCCAGAGACGATTGATCACCAGCTCGAGGAAGCAGAGACGAAAGCGAAAGGCCATGAAACGGGCTTGAGATCATATCCAGCAATGGGCATAGACGTATATATGGAGACTTTTGTCTGGTCCTTGATGGGCTGATACAATCTATAGTACATACGAGACTATATACACAGTGAAAATAATATTTTGTTTATATTCGTACACAAATTATACAAAACAGGTCCTCGCCATGAGGAGCACCCATATCAGAGAGACTTCCGGTTAAACGCCAAATAAGCCTTCCAGGGCAGCCTCCAGTCAGACCGAAGCAGCTCCGGCCGGAAGATATCGAAATCGACTTTCTCCAACCTATCCAGCCAAAGTCGCGTGCTCACCGCAGGCATGAAAACACCAAAGGCCCGGTTGACCTCGTCCAAAGGCGACTCGTCCCGTTGGCCCCTGCCCGCGAGGTACTCGTGCCCCTCCTCACCCGCATGCTCAAAGTCATGCCCTACATCCTGACCAGCGCGGAGATTGCTCAGCATCTGCTGCACGGTGATCAGATGATCGCTTGCCCGCGTCGCAACTGTGAAGACGGCATCACGTAGTCCCGGTGCCTCGCCGCCCATCCGGAAGACATCTTCCTCCTTTACGCCCGCCTGCGCCATAACGTCCAGCGGCAGCATCACTGCACCTTGCTTAGTTCCTCCGAAGTTGCCGGAGGCAGTCTGCGTGGGAGACTGGGCCTGGGGATGCGGGAATGCAACCAGCGGCAGGCCCCGGAGGACCGCCGCAATACCGGCTGCTTTGCCAATGTGCGATGCGACGTGGTCGGCCGTGATGGACGTCATGGGCAGCGAGGACAGAGTCAGGTAGAGCAGGGTCGAGTAGGTGTTTTCGGCGTAGGTTTCCAGCGCAGCGATGGTGGGGTATGGGTCGTTTGCGAGGGTTTGCTCGCGCGCATTGATCATCTTGTTCAGCCAGGCTTTGCTGATGCGGGCTCGGCCTTGTGTGCGCTCGTTGAGGTCTGATATTGCGGACGCCAAGAGGATGGCGATGGGTTCCTTGGGGGGTGAGCCCGCGAGGATCTTCGTGACGGCGTCACGCCAGAATTGCAGTCGCATCAACCCAATTGTGTAAGAGGAGGTGGTCTCGGGGATCATAGACAGGGTGACATTGAGGGCTCGGAGGGCGAGGTAGAATGTTTGCGAGTTCTGCGGAATGAACGTGCTGAGGGTGTAGGAGGGCCGGTCATATTTCCTATACGTTGCGTGTGAGTTTTGATTCGCCTCGAGAAAGAAGAAAGTGGCTCTCATACAAAAGGAGGTCCAAGCAGTATTTTCGCGCAGCTTGGACTTCTGCTTCAGCAGAACCGGAGACCGGACTGGCGGCTGGTGCTGATCGAGTGAGATGCCTTCGTTGCTGTGGTTGTACTCTAATCTGTGAAATGCGACATGATCGTGTCCCGGCACGACATGCACGGGCAATTTCTTCTAGCAATGACATTTTATAAGAGGGTTTTCAAGCCAAGGTGTGTCTGCTTCCGACGATTACTGGCATGCACATAGTTGGATCTTCTAAATGTCTTGTCAGCAGACCAAAATCTTAATGATGCAGTAGACCACTAAGCTCCCAACATACCGATCAAAAGAAAAATAATCTATATGGATGAATTGCTGGTCGT